TGCCTAAGCAAACTCGGAGCAAACAAGGATATAGCACTACCAGCAAAAAGGAAGTGACAGGACCAAGGACCTATGGCTAATCAGAGGAAAAGAGCAAGAATTAGATGAGGAACGTTAGGAAATCAGGAGAAGAGTTTTTGTGAGTGCTGTCATTAGATCGATGCCAAACTGAATAGAAATCGACTCAGTGAAGATACCGAATAGAGTGCCGGAGAAGCGTCCGGCAATGAATCAAATGTATGGTGGAAAGTATGCTGGAAAGTATCCCGACTACTATGGTAGAAGCCTCCTATAAGCTACGCTTAACTAGCTCGTCCTGAAAACATGACAAAGTCGCTAGAACAAGGCCAAAAAACGTATGTAGAGCAGAACAAGACCGTGAAAGAATAGCGATCACCTTCATGTTCTTCATGCCTACAGACATTTCGCGATTTTCAGATGTGATACAGTCTTAAAATTGTCGCTTTTTTGCTCATTCCATTCTTAAAACAAAGCTCTTTCTGCGCTTAGTATTAGCCCTTACCAATATCTTATCTATTAGTCCATAACTGTTTACAGTACCAATAGCTTAGTTCTACGATATCTTTGTAGCCAATCTATAACGATTACTTCAGTGGTTTTTACTCGTCAGCTCAAAACTTTGACTTGTTAATGAAATTAAATTGATACTTTTGTTATTATTCGAATATGTGGCTCAAGTCATCTTAACTATGATGACTAAGACAGCCTGGCTTCAATGATAAAACTTGCAAGTAAGGTAATTAAATTATTGTGGGATGCGGTACGCCTTTCTTTATTTTTGAGACATTTTCTTAACTATACACATCCCTTTAGTATGTAGAAAAATTGGGCTTTGATAGATTGATAGATTGATGTAGCAAATTCCATTCCGTTTGAAGAGGTGAGTGGAAGAGATTCATAATTCTTTCATGTGTGTTTTTGGTGGATGCTTAAGCATTGTGTCTTGCTCTGACGCTGTCCGTCGCATGACGGAAGAGAGCTCTGCAAGGATTCATCGGGGTGGGAGGGTGGTGCGCCAAGAACCTATTCGCACAAATCTACAATCATGGCTCCAGGGCAATCCCCCTACAGCTTCCGGGGAGACCAATTTATGAATCCCTTCCAGTCACCTCTTCAAACGAAATAAAAGGTACTCAAAAATATCCCCTTTTACCTATTTTTCGCAACTTGGTCATATCGTCAAGGGGACCTAGATAAATGCACCTTGTCCGGAGTCCATGGTATGTATGAGAATTTCCAGAGTCGGACCGTGGACTTAGTACATTCTCAGTCGTTTCGCCGGCATCGTAATCAGCATCGTATGTGAGCCTTGCCAGTCTTAACACTACAGCACTACTCGTCAAAGAGACAAGTAAAGTCAATCGTTTGACCAAATGTCTGCTACACAGTTGTGGTATCTTTCTTACTTGTTTATCTAAACCTAGTTGAGGTGTGCTATTTTTAGCGGATTTAGATAGACCTATTCGCGCTCCCTGCTGGTTTCCACATCCACACTAGTGTATTAAGAGTTTTGATCCAAGACTGCCGTTTATTCCGCAATCCTCTTTCTCCAATTCCTTTCGGAGTCTCTCTTGCTCCGTAGGATCCGTCTTTCATCTGCCTGGTTCAATGGTTTTATCCGATCCCGGCCACCAAATCCATGCTACTCGAGGCATTATGTTCTACACTCTGCCTCAAGCCTTTGATAGCACGTGCAATCCGGCTTCACTGAGCAGGTCCCCAAATTCTAGATTCTCAAGCTGGTCAAGTCTTTACTTCACGGACGACGTCTATGCTCAAACGCGTCTGCTGTTAGCCAACTATCTCTAGTCTCCGCCCAATCCCTCGTCCCTTTATCTATAATGCCAAGTCTATGACTTCCTATGCCCTAGCCTCTTGTGTGCCAAGCCTAACAGTTTGTGGTCCTACTTGTTTTGATTAGGCCCACTGTAGACGCTTCCTCTTGATTTCCGATTCTTCCCTTGTGACCTTCTCGAGATCTCTATTTTATGAGTTTTAAATATCTATTTTATAAATCTAATCACTTTTTACTGAGCGTGCTGTTCCCCTGCCTGCTCAGACAATATGCAAAGTTTTCGTTATACCTGCCTTCCTCAAGTTACCTCTCCATTAGATTTGTTTCATTCAGGACATTGATGGTTTCTCGTATTTTCGCCATATGCAGCCAGCCTTTCTGTTAATTTTTAGTCGATTTCGTGCCCTGTCCGTGCAAGGTGTTCTTTACCACCCCGGATCTTTCTGTATCCATGCTTCTACAGAGTCTTTCGTGTTTCTTAATTCATAAACCGATATTTCTTATTGTTTCACCAATATACCAAGCTTTTCAGCGGGGCGCTTTATTTCCCTCTTGTCTGAGATGTTTGAGTACATGGATTGTACATCCCTGCTAGTCCAACGTTTTGGATTTGTTGAGAAAATTTATACGAGTTCATCACGGTATTCGATATTCTCTCATTTACTCACTTTAGCCTCAAGTACTGAATTTCGCTAGCTTATTTGTCTCTCCATGCTTGTTATTGATTAGTAACCCAACTACTTTTTCTTTCTTGTGTATCCTCGGTAGTTCGTAGGCTGTCGTTGGTCTTGCGTCATTGTTAATTGAAGAATTCATCATCCATCTGCCAATTTATCTCTTATGCATTTCGTTTAGCATAACCTTCATTATCTCGTTGATCTTCACGGTTAGATCATTATACCCACTATGCTAGTCGTTTTGGGAAGGCATCTGGATGGTCAAACAAGATCGACCTCATCCAAAAGCGACATTTTAGAAAATCTAAATCCATGGCTTAAATTTAGCAAGCAGGCAAGGCTCTATGATTTATTTCCATCCCTTCTTGTTAAAACTAATCTCAAGCAGCCCCATATTCCTTTATCTTATCTTGGTCTTTAGCAGACGATCGTCTCACCTGCACCACGAGCAACCCTGTACCTTCTGGAGAATTGCAACCGTGCGACCATCGACAATTGATCCATCTGGTAGGAAAGACTTTGCTCCCTGGAGCTGACCTAGGCCAAACTTGTTTTTCTCCTATCAAAGCGATTTGCTGGTCATATATGCACAGCGGACAAGCATGCGTTGATGATAAGAATCGTATTTCCGACAGTTCACAGTCTTATCCACATGAGAGCAGCAGACCTGCGCCTCTTGCAACTCTGTCAACTCAAAATAATCCCAGTATCCCCATCTACCGACTGTCTCCTCTCCAAACTTATCTTCCTCTTCCGAGGCCAGAAACATCTGAAATGGGCTTCCAATACTTTTTGGTTAAGCAGCCTGGGCCTACCTCAGTTGCTACCTTCTTGAACAGTGAAAAGTCTACTTTTGAAACTTCAACTCCCATTAGAGGTGATGTCTCTACACCAAAAGACGCTTGCCTTCCCGGATGCTCCGCTTCTCCGACTTCATCCGAAGACTCCGCCTCTGGCATACCCTTGCTATGCAATGACTTTATTCTGTTGACCCCACCTGAAACCCATTTTAAAACATGTTACCCCCTGATTCCGCTAGACACCGCCTTTAAGTCTAATACTTGCTTGGAAGTCTCACGAACGCCCGTGACCTCGACCAGTCAGACTCCTATAATCGGTCGACCACCTTCTCTAGACGAAATATCCTGTTCTCTGCCTTACGTTCCCAACTCCCTTTCTGAATCTGCCCTCGAACAAGTTTGGGAGGAGAAATCGCCTAATAAATGTTGCTGTTACAAAGTTGTACAGACTTCAGATTTAGCAATTACCCAACCAGAAAATGACTCCAGTAGATCATGCTTATTTCCAAAACCGACCTCCATTTATGAAAATGCATCGTTAGACTTCTCTTCAGCCTACGCTAATACTGTCCCTTCATTCCAGCAGCAATATAGCCTACAAGACTTCGCTCCGCATGAAGCTATCTTTCATGAAGGTGGACAACTTTTAGATGGGTCTAAGCAATTGTCTCCGCAGGACTGGCTGAGTGCCGAGTTTGGAATAGACCTGAGCGCCTCACCTCTTTATTGGCAGCAGAAGTTACAGTCGAACAAGCAGTCAAACGACCCTCCAAATGACCAGAATTTGTGCTGTCGACAGTACGGCTTTCTTCAGAGTCAAAAGTCTCAACCACCCGCTCGTGTATTTCAGCCCGGATATGTTTTATACTGCTCATTACACCAACAGCAGAGACAGTCATTGTCTGAGGATACTCATCTATTAGTTGACCACAATCTTTGCGACCGACTGCAAAAAGACGAGGCAGTATGGAATCAGAGGTAGAACTGATTTTGCTTGATAGTATGGCTACTTTGAGACATTTCTTAGTTTTTTTATCATTGCCCTTTTTGTCACTAGCCATTTGAGATTTAGAGGGAACCCATAACTTTATATTTGAAAATAATGCTTCATTTTACGTGGGTCGCATAATCGCTCCCAACGATGCAGATATATAAAGTTATATTTACGGAAGTATTGCTATATCATTATTTAGGGCAATTAAATTTACGTTGATATTAAAAAAGACTATGTCAATTTATTCGAATTTATATGGATGATAAATCTCCCTGTGTCTGGTTTTAAGTGTATATTAGCATTTTCTTATATGGGCATTTTATAGGCAAAATTTGTTGGCTGAGAAACTGGCCATTTTTTATAAATTGCTTATTTCTGCATCTAAGTTTTCATATAATTAGTTATTTAGTCGCTAGCATAATAAATGATAGGAAATAAGATAAGATTGCTAGTTGAACTACGGACAGTAAATTAAAATATGCTCAGAATTGTAATAACTTTTTTATTACATTAGATTCAGAAGATTGTTGCACCTAGAAAAGTTCTTTTTTTTACTATTTTATTA